AACCGTCTGCGTTAAACGGAGTTAACCTTGATCTATTAAGAGGCACACAGTCGTGGATGGTCAGTCAAAGGTGCGAGGGGACTTGGGGAACTTGACAACGAGCTCCGAAAGCAATACCTACACAGACAGTCCTGACGCGCATGGCCGGCTGGGGGACGGAGCCCGGACATGCCTGAAGTTAAAGTTTTCTTGGGGATTGACTGATTAACACGAAGCTAGACAGCCCCTTCAAATCGATCTGCCAGCAGGCCTCTCAGAGAAAACTTCAATCTAACCGCCGGTGTCGTTCTGATGCCTCGTAAGGTACCCGTGGTGCCACAGTAACACGGCTCGCCATCTTTCAGAGAAGCGACACAGGGGAAACTGCTCGAGCACCATTTTTTTTTTTTACCGATTTCGCAAAAGACAGCTGGAGAGGTCCTGCGAACTCTTGTCAAGGGGCCGGACAGCAGCGTGTTTCTACCACAGCCGAGCGCATGTTCGCTCGGAGCAGTTCCGGGAGTGGGTGTACTGTCCGGCCCCTCTGACACACGTACACCCTCCCTCACTCACCCTTAACAAACAAAACCTAGAACTGGCCAAGACCAAAGAATACAAATCCCAGTTAACTAGATATTAACGGTGGGGCTGGGATAGCTTCATCAAAGTCGTCGCCGCATATTTTGCAGTCGTATCACACTCACAGTTCTGCCCTTTATACATGTTTTATTCTTTACATTCAAGAGAAACTATACAGGCACTAAAACACCCCGGTCTGTCCGCTGTCTGCTGCACAGCCCGTCTCGGTTAAGGCCTAGGCAGCCACTCTGCCACCCCGGCCTGGTGTGCCCGCAGTGACGGTACCTTGTCCAGCTCCTCCCGGCAGACGGCGCAATACTTCTGCTGACACAACACCCGCATCTTGGTGGAGCAGCGGTAGCACACCGGGTGATCACACTTGCCCACGGCGAAAATGTCGAGCTCCTGGCAGCACAGGACGCAGCTCCGCTCGGTATCCTTGCCAGACTTTTGATCCATGGCTGAAGATGACAGAAACCCCCGGGCCTCGGTTGGACAACTTCACTGTGAGCTCTCTGCAGTCCAGAATCCTCTACCGGCCGGCGCTCTCCCCGGTGACGTCATGACGCAAACCAAAGAGTGCCAGCAGGACGATGATCTTTCTGCGGGGCCGATGGGTTTCGTGCGTCAGTATAAGGCAGATGCGCCCTCTAGTGCTTTTACGTGGGAACTACAGCGGCTAGAGGGATTCCATAAAATGAAAACTAAGAAGACAACAGGAGGAGGTTGTTTCTAAAATACTGTACGTGTTATTTTGCATTCAGAAGGCTTTTGACGTACAAGGTGTTAAGCAGATGAGTTAAATGAGTTTTTTAAATGAGTTAAAAAAAGCTCTGATAAAAAGTACTGAGATAAAGGATTGGCCGTTCAAAATAAACAGTCTGGGAAACGCATTTACCTAACGTTTTTTTTATATCTTCTTGAAAAGCATGGAAATCCAAGAAAGGCCTGTGGCCAAGATGGAGTCAAAAAAATGAGGTGCTGCTTTCCAACCATGTCCTGAGAACCAGGTGTTTCCCTGAGATCTGGAATCAATGCTAATAATATAAGTTTTCTTACACTTCTATAGCGCTTTTCTGGACACTCCACTCAAAGTGCTTTACAGGTAATTGGGATCCCCTCCACCCCCACCAGTGTGCAGCCCCACCTGGATGATGCGACGGCAGCCATAGTGCACCAGAACGCTCCCCACACATCAGCTCTCAGTGGGGAGGGGAATAGAGTGATGAAGCCAGTTCAGAGATGGGGATTATTAGGAGGCCATGATTGGTAAAGGCCAGTGGGAAATTTGGCCAGGACACCAGGGTAACACCCCTACTCTTTTCAAGAAACACCCTGAGATTTTTAAGGACCAGAGAGTCAGGACCTCAGTTTTACATCTCATCCAAAAGACAGCACCTTTTTTCAGTATAGTGTCCCCGTCACTATACTGGGACATGAGGACCCACCCAGACTACAGATCGAGAACTCCTTACAGATTTTTCCAGAAGAACGGCAGATCTCAGGGAAACAGGTACTGCTTCACACTTATCAACAATGCATGCATATACTTTAATCTGATGATCAGGAATATCAATCTCCCCACAAAAATCTGGCTCTAAATATTTAGATATATAAACCAACGCATTGCCCTGTATGACAGTGAAGTGTGGGGAAAAAAACCTTCAATCAGAGATCTGTAAAATATACTGCAAGTACAGAGTAAACACAGATCTATGTGTGCAGGGCTAAAATAGACTGATACCCACTGTTGCTGTACCATCAGAAGCCTCTGATGAGCCAAGAATAGAATCAACCAAATTCAGGCACAAACCAAACACCATTACTTCCCCCACTGGAAGTTATGCTGTTTGTATGTCATACATACAAATACAACCGAAACTGGAAGGCTACCATGTTCTAAAAAGACAACGTATATAGCGCCCTCTACTGCTTTTACTTGTAAATTACAGTGACCAGAAGAGGTTATTGAGGTAATGAAGATGAAGCAGCCTACAGTCGAAGGTTAGGATACAACGTATCCCATTTCATTTATACTTTTTCCAGGTCATAGGAGGGTAATGTAGCTAAAAAATGACAACATGACTGGATATGAACCATTGTCACAACACAGCTTGATGTAAGACGCCCCACAGTAACAGCAGGAGACATTTGTTATTTGAGCTCAATGTGTTCTTATGCTTTGAAGAAGTCAATGCAGCATGGACAAGGACCATTTAAACAAAATTCCATTTAATAAAAGAATTTGGGAACGGAGTACCATTCTGTTCAATTCAGCATTTTATTCCACCCAGGAATTTTCAGTAACTGCTAAGTGCAATATAAGTTTGAGGTATGATTATTTTATTTTACAAAACACACAGATACAAACATTGCTTACTGAATTCTACAACTCACTGTTGACAAGGATCAAAGAGTATAGTGGTTTAATAAGATAATATACTTAAAATCTCAGACTCTCTTTACTTTTCGGCTTTTATGTCTGTGCACCAATTGTATGATAATGCAATCTTAAATTAGAAGAATGTAAACCACTATATATATATATGATATATATTTGTTTTGGACATGACGCAACCTTACATAGATAGGATCTCATGGTACAAAATGTAAAATAAAGTATTTTGCACAACACAAACACTTCAATATTTTCCTTTTTATTACTGACTGAAACACCTCAATACAATACAAAAACAAAATAGAGGAAATCAAGAGTTAAAGATAAGGAAGTCCTATGGCTGGAAAATGTATTTGGATCAATCTGTCTTGTTATGCTGAAAAGACGTGAGTCTGACTTTATTTGAACTGGTACACAACTTCTTTTCAATGCAGGAAGAGAGAGTTTAAGTTGTACCAGGAAATCTCAAAGAGAAAAATGTATATAACAAATGAAATGCTCTTTCTAGATCTGTGCACGTGATCCCTCTATCAATGAGCAACTAAAAAGAAAACAATTGATATATGCCAGATGGTCTCTTTCACTTTAAAACATATGTTCTCAGGTTGCATTGTGGTAAAATGCTACTCCATCTCCATGTCATCCTCCTCTTCTGGATCGTCTTCATCAAAGTATCGCTCCTCTTCATCGCGACTCACAATATCCAGATTGTCATAGTCTGGGTTCTCATCCACCTCACTGTAACAAAGCAGCAGAAAGTGTCACTGTATCACTGCCCCTGCATGCTTTCACATGCAAAAGGGGTTTGTGTATTCCAGCCCTGGATGCATACTTCTTGCATTCGGCTACTCATGTGCCATGCATGTGCATAAACTGAATGTGCCAGTCTTTCCAACCTGAATGGACAGAATGATAAAGTCCATACTGCGTTGCTATGCACATTCCATCAGGCTGACTTAAACCCATACTTGCCTGTAGTTAAAGTCCTGATCTTTGCCATCCAGGAATCTCTGGTGCATTCGACTGATGAACTCCTCCCTCAGCAGGGCTTTCTCCTCTGGCGTGGGCTCCCACTGCTGCTCCCCAGAGACGTGGTCTTCAGACAGAACAGAGTGACTGACTGGCGCAGAGTTACTGACTCGCTGACACCCATAGGGCTGAGACGCACTGATGTGCTGTCCGACATGCTGACGCTCATAACCCGCCACAGTGATATCCAACCAAGACAGTGTGTAACTGACAACAGGACACAACAACAGCCTGACAAACTGATACCTCCGTGATCTCCTTGATACACACCCATCGTTGCCAATTTCCGATTGACAAAGCCTTTGGAGCAGGGAGCTACACTTTTTAAAACACACATCCAGCAACAACAATCCATCATTAGGACTTGGGTTTTGTAGTAGGCGAATAGCCAGAAGGCAAAACTTTCATTTCATCCTGGCAAGAATGGGATTTAGTAAAGATGAAAGAAACAAAACCCCAAAAGCCCAGGCCTCCAAAAAGCCCTTCTCACCTTCCTCTTCCTCCACCTCCTCCGTGGCGCCCTCCTCTCTGTCCTGCTGCTCCTGCAGCCGGTCCTGGATCAGGCCCTCCTGGTAGGAGTGCAGCAGCAGCTCTGCCAGGGTGTGTGCCCCCTGCTCCTGCCCGGCTGCGACGCGCTGGCACAGCTCCTCGTCGCTCAGGTACTGCCCGATGTACTGCTCGTACAGCAGGGGGTCCCGGGCCCGCATCTGCTCCTCGCTGAAATACTGTCCCTCTGCGAGACAGACACACAGTGGAGGGGAGCCTCCCCTTAGATCAGTTCAACGGGCAGGAAGTAAAAAGAAAATCAGGTTGAATTCTAAAGGGGGTAGTAACATCCCAAATCCCAAACGCTGATAAAACATCATTAGCAGTGCAGACACATTGGAAGACAACAACGCAACAATTATCCAATTATCTGTAGGTCTCTGTGTTGTCTCAATGTAGTGAGTGTAGTGGCCAGCAAGAACTCATTTTTAGGATAATCTCAAACTCATATTAATATTCATCTAAGGGACTGGCCTTCCTCTCTCCCTGTGCCAATGGTTCCCAGTCCCGGTCCTCACACCCACTGGTTTTCATTGCCCCCCTCCTTTCTTTTCAACTGAACTTGATCCAAGAAGTTGCGTCCTTGAAATATTTGCATTTTATTTCACTCACAGTGCGTAAACCAACGCTTAAAGCTGCAACCTGTTTAAGAGCTGGAAAAAAGCAATTCAGATTAATCATAATATTATGTTCATGAAGATTGTGGTTGTGTAACTGAGGGCTCAGCAGGTGTGTGTGGGTCATCAGGACCAAGACTCATCAGGGAACCATTGCTTTGTGATTGATAGATTGTTCTTATTGATTGCATATTGATCACTTATTGATTCCTCACAGAGGCCCATGTCTCTTATTTTCGCCCCCTTTTATTTCACTGCCCCTCACTCGATTCCCTTTTTTCTCACCACTTTGTCCATTGCCCCTACCTTGCTGGAGGGCCCTGAGGGCAGCGAATCGGTGGTTTCGGACCCTGGTTCTGTTGGCCTGGCTGGAGGCCCGGTTCCGCACCTCCTTGCAGTAGTGCTGGGCACGACAGTCGGTGGTCAGGTGAGCGAAGGGGCCTAGGTGCTCAGGCTGCAGGTAAGCCCGGTACCGTTCCAGAAAGACGAGAGGCTTGGCCCGATACTGCTCCAGCAGAACCTGTCTCCTCTGGGCCATGGTCAGGTCTGGCTCCCCCAGCTGCTGGCTTTTCACTGGAGCTTCACTCTCGGCCACTGCCCACAACATAGCCGACAGCTCGCTGGAGCCTTCATCCTGGACAGAAGGAATCTGGAAGGCACGGCGTTAGGGGAGAGAAAGAAAAAACAGAATGAGAAAAAGAAGGCTCTGGTAGGCAAGAATCAGAGAGAGAGAGGCTCTATGGAAAGCTAATCTAACACCCTACAGTAATATTTTTTGCTTTCGTGCTTTCTGGTATATCTGACCCTGCAGCATCACAGGAACTGCTCACAACTGCTGGTGGCAACACCTTATAACAAAGGCATACAATACAACACATTGACGAAGAGGAAACACAACCTTGGGTTTAGCAGAGTGCATGTGCCTCACTTTGCTCAAGTACTAAAAAAATACGCTTGGGCTACTTTGTTGTACTTTGATTCGACAGTTATTTGCTTAGCTTTCCATTGAATAGCATTTGGAAAGAAAGTTTTTCACAGAGTACTTTTTAAAAAAAACTACCCAAGGTGAATTAAATGTATCCATTGTCTAGCAGTTTTCATGAAGATGGCACATTTCAGCTACAACCCCTGTACCTCATTTTCAATTTCCCTGCTCTGTCCAGCTGTGTCTGCACTGGGAGTTTCCAGAGTCCCATTCTGGTCCTCTGTTGCTGAGCAGGCAGGCTCATCTTTGTCGGAGCTGGAAGAGCTTGCAGTGGGTTCGATCTCTCCCCACAGAGCTGCAGAGACACCAACAACAGTGAAGAGCAGACCAAAAATGTCCCCAGTTCTTTATTTTCATCTCAAAATGATACGACTGTGCTTTCAGACTTTCAGCAGGTTGCTGCATTTCATAATTAGAATTATGTGTAGGTCAATAAAATAAAGGAAAGGCAAAACAAAAACAAAAAACCCGAAACATTCCCAACGTTGAAACAATCAACATTGTATCAACATTTTGTTGATAAAAAATCTGTTTTCTCATATAAATAAAGGGCGATCTTAAGTTCTAACACGTAAATTGCAATATCGCTCCACGATGGTCTATTTACTGCAGCGGTTCTCGGGCTCTGAGAAGGATGTCTGACCTCAATGTCTTACAGACATCCTCTCCTGAGGGACTGCGTTTATTTGACCAAAGGTATGCGTATCGTTAATACTGAAGACAGTGTACACTTTCTTACTTTATCGTACTAAGACATTTTTTCTATCGTTATAATAATAAAACGAATGGCTCAGAGCGAGCCAAAGGTAATAACAAAGAAAAACAGCATTGACATTACATGAAATCATTCTCCTTTCCTCCGAAGTTCTGAAATGTAAGTAAACGATATTAAATTTTCTTGATTCCGACCATTTTCAGACCCATCTCACTCCCATTACAACCCCACTTCCTCTGGTCCATCACTGTTATTGGTCCCTATTTTTTTAGTACAACACGTTGAACATCACTCGTTCCTACCCGACTGCTTAGATGATTTCAGTAAACGCAGTCACGGTGTCATCAATATATATTTTTATGTTAGACGTAGCTACAAGTAATTGCCGAGTTGCCGAATTTATATTTAGTACATAAACATGAAATTGTCCGCATTTCTTTTTTTATTGCTCGCTGGGTGTATTTGTTGCATTGTTTTTTTTTTGGTTCTATAATATTGTAACGCAACGGGGGCTCATGCGGGCGCCCTTGCCGCATTAGGTCGGCCCCTGCACCGTCCGGGGCTCGAACCCGGGACTTCCGCGTCTCTCTGCAGCGACCTAGCCCCGTGAGCCAAAGAGAGATCTCTCTCCACAGCCCAGTAGCTGTGGTCCTGCTATCACAGGGAAGGGCGGTGACGTCACCCGCTCTGGTACGCCGGCTCTTACACAGCGCCTGTCGGCCGTAAGCGTTACAATATTATTTATGTCTCTGTTGTGTGTAAATGTAAATACTTAAGTGTAGACGTGATTTTACAATACTACTGTATTCAGATTGAATTTCGAGGACTCTTACCGTACGCGCTAATTTTGGACCAGCCTACAAGTACCTTTTAACAGTCAATCTAAAAATGAGACCATTAGATGGCGCGCGTTAGAAACACGAAAACGTTAGAGAATTCCCGAAATATTTTTTTTATTACACACCAATATAAAACGGAGTAAAAATCCTATTTTCAAACAGCAATTATTTTAACTAGAAACAAAACAAACTGCACGTTAAAGTGAACAACTAGAAAAAAGATACTTTAACTGCATATTTCTGAACAAGTAGCGTGCACTAATACTGTACAACGATACCTTAATCTGACCTGGCAATCATATTTTGCAGCTGCAGTCTGAAGCAGATTACACTACATTTAGTGTCACATTACACGTTCATTTACTTCAATGGTTGATAGGTTAAAAACAATTACAATTATCAATCATATTGCTGCTGTCATCCATGGGATTCTGACTTTCCCACATATGCCTGTGTCTGTGGGAAACATTTTCAAAACTTCCCTAGGGACTCCCGGTTTATGTTGAATTTACAAGTAATATCTTTGGAAATACAGTACAAAGCATGCCATTTAATTTGTGAGACTTCCTTGTCCTGTGGGTGGGTGGCACAGTGGTTAGGATTTCTGCCTGCAGTCTTGGGGTCCTGGGTTAAATTCAGGATCTGCCGGGGGGGGCTGTCTGAATGGAGTTTGCATGTTCTCCCTGTGTTTGTGTGGGGTTTCTTGCTCCAGTTTCCTCCCACAGTTCAAAGTTATGCTGGTAGGTTGATTGGCTTCTGGGAGCACTGGCCCTGGTGTGAAGGTGTGTCTGCTCTGGGATGGATTGGTGCCTTGTGTCCAGGCTGTATCCCGCCTTGCACCTGTTATTTGCTGGGATAGTCTCTGGCTGGCCCACGACCCTGAATTGAATTCACTCCAGTTAGTAAATGGATGGATGTCCTTCGGATGTTCTACACAAGCACATTCATTCTAGAGGTGAATGAACAAACCTTTCTGCTCAGCTAGTATCCAAGGTCTTGTGCAGGCTTCAGTACTGTTATGTAAGGGCCTCCAAAATGATGGGATATATCTGAGACAAATTATGGCCATTATTGCCAGTTGGATTAAAACACACAATTTGATTTTTACACCTTTTCTATTCAATTATTTTAAAAAAATGACTTTTAACATGCAATACAGCACAGTATGCAATATAACACAGTTTCAGCTGGCTATATGAAGGATCGTAAATTATTAAGTTGAATGTCCTTCACTTGATCGGTTGAAATATGAACAGTGTAAAGTTTCCTAATGATGGAACAATTGATGCATAATTCTGTTAGGAGATGAAAGACGCTGAGCACAAAGCTGTAATTTGATTGTTTACTTAGAGTGACATTTTGTAGAAGATTTTCCTTAGTAAATGAATGGGCTTTTTCTAAATATATTGTAGTTAGTTAAAAGTTAAATAACTCGGGAAATTCCACAGAGGGTGGTCACTCCGTTAACATGTTATGAATCTCATGTCATTCTTTTCATTCTCTAGGGCTTTGTTGAGATACCTAAAATACCCTAATACCTGGAAATTACGGGATGGGCTAGGATTGAAGCCTTCAGGGACTGGTCCACCTTGAGTGCGCCGGTCATTGAAGACTTCCTTGGATCTCCAGATACTAAGGGCCCTCTGTTCCATTTTAGCCTCAGGGCTTTCCTTCCATTCCACAGATTTCTTGGCCTGTCTTATAGTGCCTGCATGGTATTGTTGTACCTACCTGAACTGCAAGCCTCCCTTCTCCTTGTCTTGTTCATCCCACCTCTGAAGTCCTGTTTTGTCTTGCCTCTCTCTCTGACAGCTCTCAGTGTCGAGTGCTGCAGGCCTCCCATCTGAAGGAGCTTTTCTTCTATAGTCTCACCCTCCAGGATGTTTTTTTTTCCCTTAAAACATGTTTATAAGTAAAAGTCCTAAATAAAAAGCTCTTGTTCTATTGCTGTTCTACTCATGTCCGCTTGCTGGCTTAGGAGGTGGGTCTAGATCGTGCGGACTGCTGTCTTGATCACAAAGCCTCTGTTCTCCACCATAAACGTCCTGCTCTCCAATACTTTGGCCTTTGACCACATCTTGAGGAATTATAGCCATGGCGTTCCCTGGAAGGATTCACTTCCTGACTAACCAATCTTCTCTTCAACCTCAAGTTACCTGTAATATCAACCTTGGTCCCGTGGGACCCAACCTAAAACCCTCCCCTTCAGTTCTAACATCCAGGCCTCTAATGGTGACGTTTTGGATCGAAAAGTACCAGATCACTGGGAAGGACCTGTATTAGGGTCGATACTGGATCTGCAGCTGTTCAGCCCATGATTGTCTACAAGTTCCACATTGTCCATTTGCCAGATGATTCATGCCGATTGACCTAGCGACTGGATGGCAATGTGGGACTTGAAAGACACCTGCTCTTGTGCACCAGACTAACGCAGGTGTTGAATAAGGTTCATGCTTGATAGGAGATTGCTCAAGCTCTGCATTCTTCCTTTTGCTCTTCCCTAGAGCAAAGTCTCAAATTGTAAGGACACAGTCTCACAGTAACAGTCTGCCTGTGCTGGATTATCTGGATGACTGACTCCTCATCAACTAGCTCAACGAGTTCGAGCTGGAGCTCCCAATTGCTGCTGCTGTAGCAACATCTTGCCCACCTGGGCTTGGCAGCGAAATTGGAAGACAAGTGTTCTGACCCTGGCTTAGGCCACTACATTCTCAGACTGGCAGCTCGACTTGATGGAGACGACAGCATGTCAGACGCAAATCATAGATGTTGTTGGACACACTGGAACAGTACTGTTTGGGTGCAGCTCTCACCGATTGGCACTCCAGTTCCTCCAGCTACTGGCCATGATAGAATCATCACAGATACTCCTGCTGGGTCTCCTGCATACTCACCCCAACACAATGATTGTCCTGCAATTGTCTCCTATGAAGGTAGCTCAGGGTACGAGCTCTTATCTTTTCACATCAAAAGCAGACAAATGTATCATTAAGGAAGGGCAATTGCTAACAACTTGCAGATTTGGAATAAATGTATCAGTTTTTTTCCATGTATGTAACACTTTCATGCTCTATCACCATTTTGACATGATTCCGGTTTATTGACTGATCCTTGTGATTTCATCTGTTCCCCTTGGTCGAACAGTGGCGTTTTAACTCTGAAGGACATATGTGATTATTCTGGCTTCTGTTCATTCCAGGACTCATAAGGTCAATATTCTCTTCTGTATTTCTCTTTTTACACCTCAGGCTTCATTCATCATCTGGTGTCCCCTGGGATTCATCTCTACTCTCTCTCACAAGCTATTAGGTCTATTTAAGACCCTCCATTAAAATGGGGTTAGTTTTATAGTTTTATAGTTTTGTAGAATATACATTACACTTATTTCTCACAATATTAAGCTCTTGCCTGTGTTGTTAATGTGGAATGGAGAGCTGATTAAGTGGCACATTACACTAGACTGGGAAGTGATCTGGGATATTCAATTTGATTCATCAAAAACCTAAGGACAACAGCTTATCCATTTCACGTTTATTCTCAGACCCACCAGAAGAGTCCAGATGTGGGTATCAACAGATCTTACCTGTCATGTCTGTATATTATTTAGGGTCATGGACACCTATTTACACATTTTGAGCGTTCCCCCCAAATTAAGGCATTTTGGAAATATATGGGGTCTGTATTGAATTATACATGTGGTACTATTCGTCTCCAATCTCCAGAAGTTCTGTTACTCTCTGATGCATCTCAGACGATGTGATGTCTTGTGTTCTTTCTTGTTTGCAATGTACGTCAAATGTACGGACATTGTGTCCTGTATCTGGTGTGTTTCCTTCTCCTGGGGTTGAGGTTCACAGAAATAAAAATAAAAGTATTATTTAAAAAAAGATCGCTCGAGGTGACTCCTGATGTTGTGGACTTGCCCCCGGCCACTGAAATGGAGGTGACAGCCAGTCAGTCTTGCTTCAGGCAAGATCATTAATATGTGCATGCACAGCTTTACTGAGTCCGGTATTTCAGGGTCATGGTTTATTAAGTGCATTGATCTTTTTCTTAATTTATATGATTTCAGAATATATGAAAGACTACCAAGGTGCCCTTAGGGGAAATGTTGGGAGACTAACAACCTTTTGCGTTATTTATTACTATAATCCTTAACGTGTTTTACTGCTTTTCAATAGTTAAATCCTGGTGCCATTTTGAAAAGCATTTTCTTTGCCCCCTTGTGATAGATAGTATAGATTTCCCCTTGTGCCGGCTGCCTTTTGATTGTGGTGGTTCGCGGGCTCTAAGCACAACTCCTCAGACACAACACCGAAAGACCGTGGCCTCTGTCACAGGCGAGTGTTGCACTGGCTAGATTTCAGAGGGCGGTGATGTCACTTCTGGAACTTGCTCAGTGCACTGAACCCTGTTACATGTGGTCAGTGATAACAGTATTGATTCTAACTGGCCTGGGAACCTGAAACACTTTATATGGTTTTATTACTTCTTGCACATAAATGTAGTGAGTGTAACATCCCACTTTTGAGCAGTGTTTCATTAATATAGCATCTTTACGATTCTCCGTAGGCAGGTATTTTCTAAAAACAGGTTGTAGAGACTGAATGAAAGCAAAGAAAACAGAACACGACAGATCATTTGATATGATTTAGCTTCATGCAAAACCAAAAGCCGATTGTAACACAGTGTGCCAACAGACTTTCCTGACCATCCTTGAACAGCCTGTTACATCCCTGAGCTGAAAGCCTATTCTGCTAGTTATATAAGATGTGAACATCACCTGGAACACTTCTGAAATCATTACATAACAGTGATAAGCAATAATTAAAATGCAAAAACACAATTTTATTACTATCTTACTTACCTCCCACAATTATATGCTTTAGAAACCAAGATTATTGCACACAGTTTGTCTGGCTATCAATGGAGGTGTTCAAAAATGTATAGATTTTTACTATCAGGGCTGAGAGCTGGGTTTACTAAAGAGTACTTGGCCACAAAGAGAAATTTGCATCTTCTTTGGAACAAAATCATAAATCCAACAGTGTCCTGTATTTTATTTAATTAAAGGCTACACGCAGTGACCTTGTGAAAGCTCCAGGTAAAAACATGGTATTTCGTGGGTTTTGTAATCATGCAGGAGCAAACAGATTTTCTTGTGGTAGCAGAAATATAAGACATAATCATTTGGAGTGATAATCCTACTGTACTTGCAAGCACTTGTAATGACCATGAGTAATGTAAATGAAACAGAGGTGTACCTACGTGGCATAAATCCTAATCTTCTACACACATACACCTCATTCCCTTTCTTTAAACAGAAGGATATACATGCCCTCTCTGATTAGCCTTTGATCATAAAATGCACTTATCAGCTGTACTTCTGCACTGCCTAGAAAGGTTACAGCAGTTAAATCCAGACAAGCCTAAAACATTAAGCTTATGACATACCATTATCTTTTTAAAGATAATTTAAAAATCGTCATTATTGACTGGAACAACAATGATGTTTTAAATACACTTTGCTACCATGTTCCACAAAGAAGGAGGACTAAAGCAAATCTTTCTCTCTCCATCCAAATGTGTCACAACCACGTACCATAAAACCAGTTTTGTTTGGTGTCCTTTATTAGCAATTTTGTTGAGGATTATTAAGCTCCGATTTCAGTCCAAGACAAGAGTAATCAACTGAAGAGTGATGACAAGCAGCATCTTTTTTTTCCCTCTACCGGGTGCAACCGACCTGAGAATCGTACCGAGACGCGAAAGGGAAAATGTCAGATTGGAGTAGTTTACTTCAGACGTGAATCTCAGAAGGGTGGTTCTTTGCACCAATCACACACCTGCTTCAGGGAAGTAAACCGAGAATGTACTGGAGAACAGCATAAATAACAGTGGTCCATACGGATGTCAAATTGCTAAATGTAAACAACATGTTTTCTTTTAGAAGAAATACACTGAAAAGTCATCAATTGTTTATTTTTTTTAGGTATACCCCGAGCTGGAGCAGCGAATTCTTGTTCAGATCTTCTCGCAGTTGTACCCATGTGGATGCAGAGGGGACCCATTGGGACCTATACTGTGTCAAAGGGGTTAAAGGTTACAAAGGTCTCCACTTCCTACCCCCCCCCCCCAAAAAAAGTGGAGTGGACTGAGGTTACGTAGCGAACTGCAAAGCATGAATCACACTTGCATCACTCCTGCGATCAGTCACAAGAGCCGCTTCTGAGCGGGAGACCAACTTCATTCATCCCAGCCAGGGAAAAAGCACTGTTTTGTTGTGAGTGGCACATCCAGGATTTTAACTGGGCACTGCCTGAGGTAGCAGCCACCCCCTGCTTAAGCGGGGGTCTCTTTCTAGATGTGCCACTTGCCTGTCATCCTCTGCATTTTTAAGTAACACTTTAACACTAATCTTCTGGAGCAGTTCATCTGTTACTGTACAAAGCCCCAACAATAGTTTTTCATAATTCTTAACCCAATACTTGTTGTGGCTGTTTGTCAGTGACAGAATGTCTTTCAGCAGGGACAGTCTTAAACAGTGATTACTTGCTGAAATGAAAAGAAAATGTTTTGTAGGCAAATACATGTACTGTATATATAGTGTGTATATTTATAGATATGCACTGTATGACTAATGTGTGTATAGATCCCTGACATCTTTGGAAAGATCATTTCCTAGGTCATACATACAGAGATCTAACACAAGTAAATGGACTCTGAAGTACTAGCCATAACATGTTAATCTGAAATAAAGAAGCATTTGTTCAGACTTCAGATGTCTTTCTAATTATGTTAGATCTCTGTGTGGAGACACAATAACGCATTGCACTCTCTCCAGATCTGTTTATTCAAGATAAAGCTGTTAATATATCAACTCTAGACTTAAACGTCCAGGACAATGTAGGAATCAGACTCCACACTGTTCTGGATCAGCTTTTGCCCCTGAAATAAATACCCTTAAAAATTAGATAATTTGCTATCTCATACCACCTGGGGAGATGGATGACATTTTTCCTCTGCATTTTTTTTTTAGAAAATCCAACCCTGAATATCAATTATTGCACACTGGCTACAGTTCATTAGTGGTTTGGTTCTCAACGGATTTCATTAATACAAACATTCCATGCGCCCTCTCCCCTTCCCAATAAAAAAATAAAAAAGAAATTTTGAAAGTACCAGAAGGTCTTCTACACAAGCTAAAATGAAGCCATCTGTTCTCAAATAAAAAAGAAAACTGTACATTCACAAGGAGACAACAAAACACCAATCAACTTGAAATTCAAATTGACGTGTGTAAAACATTACAGTTCTCTATAAAAATATGTGCATATGAATACAGCTATTTTTTCACCAATACAGTATTTTCTTCTATTTACACTACAAGATATACAGAAAATGTACAGCACTTAACTATTGATGCACCTTTGCCATACTGTGCTCCAGCACAATATAGTGCCAGTAAGAAAGTAGACCTTAAACAAACAAAGAGGACGAAAATGAAATACACATCCTGAACCCAAATCAATGTGATTGAGCCGAGGGAAGATAACCCACGTTCCGGTCAAAAAACTTGAAATTGCATATCCCATTTTTGTAAAAGTCTGCCCCCCCCCCCTCCCACCCGAGACTCTGACCCAAGAAACGTATAAAGAGGGTTGGGGGTGCAGGAGGCCGGAACATCTGTGCCTGATTGACCCACACACTGGAGGCTCAAGATCTTGCCTCAGACGCTTTGGCTATGCAGTGGAATCATCAGTGTCCTTGTCCCTTGTGCTTGGCATGCGGACCAGTCCTCTCTTTCTCAGAGGGCTCCTCGTGACGCTAATCAAGGCCTGACTCTTGTCCTCCGGGTCTTCGCCTTGGCGAACTCTTAGGTGGTCCAGAGTCTTAAGCTCGGAGCCCGTTTCGCTCTCGGGCTTGGGGTCGTAGCACATGGAGGACTGGGAGGACTGGTCGCTGTCGGATAAGATGTCCGACATGCTGCTCAGAGAGCTGACGTCCGACTGGTCAAAGGAGAACTGGGGGACGGAGAGGTGCTCATTCCGGCACGGGGGGCGTTTCTCAGTTTTGGCGGGGGGCTCCGGGGGGGGCTGGGGCTCCATCAAATCCAGGGAGTCGCGCGGCAGCGCGGCTTCGCACGAGGGCGTCCTCCTGCGCAGCAGCATGCTGCTCTCGGATATCTTCGCCAGCGAGGCAGCGGGGGCCGAGAGCTCGTTTTCAAGGGGAGGGTCGACCGAGATGCAAGGGGGGCTCATCTTCTTCTTCCGCTGCACGGCCAGCCCGTGGGGCGACACCAAGGAAGACCGCCGCGGCCCGTCCGCCGGCTGCTCGAAGACGGAGTCGTCGTCGTCGCCGTCGATGGAGGGACAGATCTCGATGGAATGCCTGCGGGGATCGTCGGCCCACGAGGGCTTGGCCAGGAACCCCTCCGTGTCCACGCTGTAGAACTTCTTCAGGTCCTTGTCCTTGACGTGAGAGCCGGCCAGGCTGGTGGCACTGGTGCAGTTCTTCAGCAGGCCGGGAACCTGGGAGCCGGGAGACGCGTAGGGGGAGAGGGAGTGGCTCCGCACTTCGGAGTGGCCGCCCCAGTCTTTGGCAGAGCTGTTGATGTGCCGCACCTCCTCGTCGGCTGGGTCTATGGAGCCGAACATGGAGCTCTCGGGACTGGCACTGTTAATGGGGCTGCTGGTCTGGCTGGCGGCCCTGCTGGGGATGCTGTGCTGGCTGTACACCTGCCGGTGGGTGTGCACGCTGGAGGTGCGGGCACGAGGCGGGGTGGGAGAGGGCTGGGGGCTACTGGGCGCTGCTATCCTGGGCACTGGCAGGGCTAGATTGCTCTGGCCTGGCACTTTGAGATGCAGGCTGTCACTGGACTGTGCCGTGAGGTTGTCTTTTGAGTCACTGCTCTGCACATCAAAGGATTCGTGTTTGATGGCCTCCTAAACAGAATGCAACCGTTTTAAGCGGCGTTAACAAACTGTTAAACAAGATCGGTGAGAAGAAATAAAAATATAGCAGCAAACACAATATATGTATATTAGTATACTAGGCTGATATTCATATTCATTTTCTGATAGTGATAGAAATTGGTTAAGAATTCAGAAGGTTTTGATCCAGACTCAAGAGTATCTTGCAAAATAGCAGTGGTAATACTGGACAGTTTAATTGTACAGTAATCTATTGATATTCTAATGCAGATATTGGTGACTTAATGACGTTTGCCAATACTAATCCGCATTTTGGACTCTAGCTGCACAGCTACTAGTGGGGAGACAGTGGGGTGACCGTAGCGCCCCAGCAGCGTCCCCCCGGCCGTACCTGTCGTCGCAGCAGCCTGCTGCTGCAGGGGGAGGAGGGGCTGGGCAGCAGAGGTGGGATCCTGGGCATGCTGCTGTTTCTGGGGATGGCCGAGCTGGGGCCGGCGCCGGGCGAGGTCCCCGGAACCCGCAGCAGGGAGTCCCCCTCAGCTCCCTGCGAGTTCACCGAGCCAACCGAGCCTGATCGGAGAGGAGGGGGGAGACAGGATCACTGCACGTTCTCCTGCAGGGCACGGACGGTCCGCCGCTGACAACTTCACACATGCACAAGCCATGAAGAGTTCAGTGACGATAATAAATATTCCTTAAATTCAGTGATTCTACATATACAGAATCCTACCCAACATCCATATCCTACATGTCTAGATATCTATGTCATTCTGTCTGAAGGCAGATGCAGGTTTGGGTTTGCACATTTGAAAAATGACCTATGCCACAATATGATGTATATGAAACAAGTCTTATTTTGCTGGACCTGCAGCTGATCATGAGTGAAACAGATAATACAGTTTTTTTTTAAACTATTAAATTTCTGTGTATAGTGCAGATGCTTTCTCCTGTACAAATGAGCTTTGTTACCTAATTGCAGGTCTCCCTCACAGGGCTCAATCTCTGGCAGAGGGTAGGGGGCGTTAGCAGGCCTCACTGGGCGGAACATGTAGCTGTCGTTTGGTAAGGAATGCATCCTGGAGACAGAAACCTTCCTCACAGACAGGAAATTCTCCTGGGAGCCAGACAGCGCTTCATTCTATAAATGTCAGGAAGAAAAATCTCATTCTTTTGAACTTTCTTGCTTGGTTAAAATACTGTACACCCCAGGAAACAGTTCTGGAGGATAATGACTTAATAGTGGAGCACAAAGAAGTTTCACATGATCAAGGAGGTCAGCGTTCAGGTTGCTATACTGGGGTGATTAAAGGTGTCATCTCTAAGATGTCCTGTGTGACCCTTGTATTGTAATGGATAATTTGGTCTTGAGAATCTATTTCAGACTTCTTTTCTCATCCCCTTTTTAAGACTATCAAGATATTAAAACGGCCTTTTCTCAGAAGTCTTTTACACAGGACAAAGGCTGAATAAACAGTTTATCTGGTTGTTTTGTTTTGATTCCTTTAACAGAGTTGTGTAAAAAATGAGTCAAGTATGCTGTCATTTTCTCTTTTCAGCAACATATGCCACTGTAATGGCCCATTTAATCTCTTTTAATTAGTGAACTAAGGTCTAGTATCCATTATAAATTAAGTTACCATGCTTCAGCTAAATATACTGAGCAAAGGCAAATCCATTTCTTCAGCAATTCGATGTCTCAAGGCAACAGAAAAAGTGGGGGAGTGCCTGAACAACTGATCTTTCCTCGGCAACGAAAATTGAAATAAAACGTCTTCTTCAGATTGGATTTAAATCATAGCACTGAAAGGTCTTTCTTGGATGAGCACGCTGCTAATTCAAATTGAACATGTATTCACTTTAAGGAGATGATTTTCTGTCAGGAGACAAATTGATTAAGGAGATTAAATATAAAATTTTTTTTGCCCTCTTCTGCCTACTGAACAGATGACAAGAACAATGTATGGCTATCCATTGCATACCAGTTCACTGACACATAAAAATTGTCTGGGAGGTGATAAGGTAGTATTCTCTTATCCCCTGACTGCAGCACTAACAGGCTCTCTGCCACCAGCCCACTGAAGCTGATAAACTGCAAAGTGACTTTACCAAAAGAAACTTTCCAGAAGCTGCAATTTTCATTACAGGTCTCCCAGCGGAACTTATCCTCAAACTAAAAAGTTTCAGTGGATGCACTGAAGGATCCACTCACTTTTAGCTGTCTGCAGCATTTAAAGGTGACTAAAAACTGCCTTAAATTATAAGGGTTTTCCAGCTGAGAAAAAGGTTTAATTAGATTCAGGGGTCACAAAGATGTTATCTCAGCTGCGGCACTAAGGACTCTCTCGCACACTTCTCAAGAGCTTTACAATATATACTGTACGGCAGAAGGATTTAAAAATCTTTGATCTGCAATGACGATTGGGGAAACTGGAGTCTGGATGTTCAATAAGCAATTACTGCTCGAATGTCCTGGACGTGACTGATATGGAGATATAATTAGAAGCTATGGACTAGGTCTTCTTTAGGTCCTCAGCCTACCCTGACCTGTGTACTACAGCAGGCTCAGGAATTTCTCCGCATGGCTCCACAAAACAGTTTACAGGGAAAAACCGCTGTTGTGATTGAAGTTTGTGCAGAGAACAAATGTTGCCAGAAAGGACAAAAGCATTTTTAAGTGTTTTTTTGTTTTCAAATCCACAATTACACCTCATAAAACTGCAACTATTTTAATAAGAAACATGTTTAAGACACCGGGCAGGGATCTTAAACTCCTGGAGGGCTTTGTGTCGCCTGTTTAGTGTCTCTGCATCATGAGGAGTCAAATAAATACTTGACCTAATGATTTTCTCAATTATATCTCAAGTATTCACTTCATTAAAGTTACCTACAGTATGATTCACCTCGAAGCACAATAATTCTTAAATAACTACATAACTAAGAACATGGGTGGAACCAAAAGACAGCAGGCCCTCCAGAAGCTGAGTTCGACACCCCCTGTCAGCGCTTCTCCTCTAGAACTGGACTAGTCCCTTTCCTCTCTCAGGTGTCACCTGTTCGGTATAGAATAACCCACACGCAGCCCCTCCCCAGCTAATCTCCATTACCTGCCCAGGTGAGTCTGGTCTGGGCCCCACGTACGTGGCCCTGCTCTCAGGCCCCAGGGTCCTGCCCCCAGAGGTGGTGCTGAGCCTGCGGGTCATCTCCATCTCGATCTCGGCGTCCATCTCGGCGTCCTCCTTGGCCTCCTTGTTGCTCTCCTCCAGGTGCTTCATGAGCACGGCCACCACCACGTTGACCAGCACGAACTGGGCGATCAGGACGAAGGTGACGAAGTAGATGGGGGAGATGAGTGGCAGGTAGCTCAGGCAGTGCTTGTCCTCACTGCGGCACTCCCGCAAGGTGTCCTGCAGGGGGCAGAGTGTCAGATCAGCGTCCCTCCTGCACGGAGCTGCTCTCTTTCACTACGCGACACTTCGGTTTTCTGATCCGATACACTGATTCCTTGAACCGGACAAAGAAACATCCGCCCTGTCCCTGCCTCCTCTTCCCCCACGCTGTCCCAGGAGCCCAGAGGATTATGCGAATGGATGGCTCGTAAAGAGACTCCCAGGGTCTTTCTTTCCCATTGTTACAGGCGGCAGCTACAGTATATCACCCTGCAGCTCACCACTGGCAGCCCACTGAAGCTCAGCAGCTGTGAGCCTGGTCAGTACCTGGATGGGAGACCTCCTGGGAAAAACTAAGGTTGCTGCTGGAAGAGGTGTTAGTGGGGCCAGTATGTGGTGCTCATCCTGCAGTCTGTGTGGTTCCTAATGCCCCAGTATAGTGACGGGGACACTACACCATAAAAAGGCATCATCCTTTGGATGAGACGTAAAACTGAAGTCCTGACTCTCCAAGGTTATTATAAATCCCTGGGCGTTTCTTGAAAAGAGTAGGGGTGTTACCCCAGCATCCTGGCCAAATGTGGTGAGTGTTCTGGTGCACTCTGGCTCCCATTGCATCATCCAGGTGGGACTGCACATTGGTGGTGGAGGGGAGTCCAGAAAAGCGCTATATAAGTGTAAGGCAGCACCAGTGTGGTTTCAAAAATGTGCATTTTTCCTGATCAAGCTTGCCCCCGGTTGAGCAAGTGACATTATTTAATAAGACCAAAATACAAATGTTGTGAATACAAAACATACAGAATACAACTTGCCAGTTTCTGTCCTGATCATCTACCTAAGAAACTATTTGAAAATACATTTTATTGGGTCTGTTTCTGCTTTCATCATTTATGGCCTGAATTGGTGTTGATGTGTTAGAAAGTCAGAAATTCTTGTATATTGCAGGAATGCATCCTTTGATAAAAAAAAAGTTAAAAAAAGCTTTCGTTGTTGCAGTGGCATTGCATAGACGTGGGTGAGCCTTTGGAGTCACGACTGGTGGGTTGTGTGTTCAAGTCCCTGCTGCAGTACCTTGAGTGAAATGCAGTACTCCTCTGTTAATTACTGGATAGCATGTTATACAATACAGTTGTATGGGCACCCCTGATCAAACTGACATGTTTCACAGAATCTTTAATTGAAAAAAGGTTAATGCAACCTTTGCAGGGTAGAAACTTAAACGTGACATTTCTGCACATCTTAATGTACAAATACTATTTATTTGCTGAATTTAACAGATTGGAAAAAAAATAAAATGGCGAATGTGGCATGTGCAAAAGTTTGGGCACATACTTGCACATACTGGGTCAGTACTTAGTAACACCTCCTTTGGCAGAAATCATAGCTTCCAAACGCTTCTTGCAGCCAGCTAAGAGTATTTCTATTATTGCTTTTCCCCCACTCTTCCTTGAAGAACTCTTCTAGCTCAAAAAATAGTTTAGCCCTTCTTAAATACATTACATGTTTGAGATCTCCTCACAGACTTGCAATAATATTCAAGTCTCGGAACTGTGAAGGCCATTCCAAAACCTTAATCTTTCATTCCTGTAAGTACTTGGTTGATCTTGAGGTATGTTTTGGATCGCTGTCTTGCTGAAATATCCAACCCCTTTTCAGCATCAATTTCTTCCACGACTCTAGAACATCAGCTTCTAGGACTTGTTGATATTGAGTTGAATCCATTCTTCCTTCCACTTGTACAACATTTCCTGTGTCACTGGCTGCCACACAACCCCAGAGCATAACAGATCCACCCTTATTGCTTAACGGTTTCTTCGAATGCTTCACCTGTTTTTCTCCAAATGTATCTTTTGTGGTTGTGGCCAAAAAGTTCCATTTCTGGTTCATCAGTCCACCACAGCACTTAAGTCCAAAAAGTTTCTGGCTGATCTAAGAATTGTTCTGCATACTTTTGTGTACTGCAGATGTGCCTTTTGTGATGAGGTCATAGGAAAGGTTTCCTTCTGACATCTCTTCCATGCAGATCATTTTTGTGTTAAGCGACGCTGTACTATGGACCTTTGCAGCACTACTCCAGTCTCAGCTAAACCTTTCTGCAGGTCCTTTGCACTGATAGGTGGGTTCTGCTTTGCATATCTGACCCATTTACAAGCAGTTCTGTTAGAGATTGTTCTGGGTCTTCCAGATCCTGCCTTGACTTCAACAGTTCCCCCTAACTTCCATTTCTAAATGATGTTTCTGACAGTGGAAATTCCAAGCTGGAAGCAATGAAATATAGCCTTCCCTTGCTTTGTAAGAGTCAGTGATCTTTATTTTCAAGTCCTCAGTCAGCTGCTTAGTGGAGCGCATGTTTGCTGAGAGTAGGCACAACATCCTGAGAGATGAGAAGAGTAAGAGTCTTTATTCACCTGGCTTAATTTAAGGCCTAAAAAGTCAATCAAGTTTTGAGACCTCAAAAAATAAAAATCTTAACGAATGAAGGGTGCCCAAACATTTGCACACGCCAGATTCACTGTTTAATTTTTTCAATCTGTTAAATGCAGAAAATGAATAATTGTGCATACATATTTCATCTTTAAACTTATACCCTGCAAATGTTTGTTGTTTTCACTTGGAGATTCAGTGAAACATGCAATTTGACTAGGGGGTGCCCAAACGTTTGCATACAACTGTATACCTGTATGTGTCATGATGAGGAGCTGAAAATCAATTTTTTTAATGCTATCGGCAACATACAAAAACGGTTATTTGCACACGCTAGCCCCTTAACCACATTCATCTTGAGATCAACCAATATGTTGATCCTAATCCACACATTGGCTACCACTGCCTTACAATTTAAAAGCTTATAGATCAAATCCTCCGCAAAGAATAAAAAAAGGAAATTTGTAATTGCTTTAAAATTCACATTATACATTTTCATACAAGATCTGCTCAGCCTGTGTCAGGGATGTGCAGTCCAAGTCCTGCCTTTCCTGTACCAGCATGTGAAGAAGCTGTTAAATTGGCCCAGTAACCAGCTAATTTAGCTCATTCAGAGCCGAAATGGAATAAAAGCCTATACTGTAGACACAGCAGCCCTCCAGGACCAGGACTGAATACCCCTGGCCAAAGGCATTTCTCCATCTGTCACACAAGTCTGGGAAAAAACTCTAGCAGGCAATCTGTTCACGGAGGTGTCAGACCTTCATGATGCCATTCCAGTTGTCTCCTGTAGAAACCCTGAACAGCGTGAGAAAGGCCATTCCAAAGTTGTCAAACGTGGCGTGTCTGCTCAGACCCTCACAGGGGTTGTCATCGTTACACTCTGAAAGGGAAATGAGAATTGATACAAATGCTTTACAAATATATGCAAAGACATATATGTCCAAAAATCATTCTTATATGGTCACTGCATGATGCAGTGATGTTTCATTATGATCTATGATACACTATGGTCAAACTGTATTGATATTATGATATAAGCCCTCAGTAATGCACCAGAGAATATTTTCAAAATTCCTCCAGAGAATTTGTACCTGCGCTTGGTACAAATAAGGTAATTTAAAAAGGTAAAGTAAAAGGCAGTTTAAAAAAAATACCTTTATATAAATTGCCACTGACCTAGGTTAGTTTACATTCTTCTGTTTTGCATCGTCTCACAGTGGCACAGAGCTACATTGCCTTGATGATTCTCTCTGAAAGTACGAGTCCACCTACACCAATTATATCTTGATCTTTAACCCCTGGAAGCATTAGCATATTAGTAATTCCTATGTAAATTGTCCAATTAACCATCTAACATTTAGTTTAATATTATTCATTCAAATCAGGAGATTGCATGAATGACAACCAAAGTCATTTATGAGCTGAAGAACTTTGATCCTGGTCTGGAGCTTCCTGGCCCTGATATTTTTGTCTAAAAAGGATGTTTCATTCTCAGAGTCACCATTAAGGTAAAAATGGGCGATAACAAGTAAGAAAATGTCAGTTTGTGCCTAGGGGCCATTCAAAGAAAGATCTGTTACAGAATGGTGCTCTGTGGTACTGTCTTGTACTGTCTTTCTTGTACTGTCTTTCTTAGATGTTATCTGCAGAGAATAATAATAATAGTAACAATTCATAGTGAATTCAACTGGGATTCTCCATAATTTCAGTTTATACAGTACCTGGATGTTACAGTACTTGGGTGTAACTGATTGCTTTGTACATGCAACATTTATAAGATCAATGTTAAGATAAACTGCAATGTTGAATTTTCCTGCATTAGTGTTAAGTGAGTATGCAGCGCAATCTAACACTTTACTGTACAAATTTCACCATGCCTAGGATTTTTACAAACATAGTGCGTTTCCAAAATGGAGTTTATGGAAATAAGTTGTTTTCTTTAAAAATTCAGATTTCTCAATCTGATTGCCATTAAAGGGGAGATGCATATTTATATATTTTGAGGGTGAAAAAGAATCAGCAATGATGAGTGGATTTCAAACCATAATAAAAGTAAAATACACACAGTTACTTGTAAAACCTCCAATTTACACCACATAATAGACAAAATTTCCAGGTATGTGCAGCACCATATTCTGCAGTTTAGAATGAAGCAACAAAGCTTCCTGATGTGTTGCAGCTCTATTACATTGGAAACAAGCAGGCTTGTGAATACATCTCTTTTAATTCAATAGAAATATTGCTCTGGATTTTGAGATGGTTTTGCTACACAACCTGTACATCTCATTGCATTAGTTATTATGGAGACTAGTGAGCAGGAAGGGCTGCATCACATTGCAAAGGGAATCCTTCTTCTTCAGAAAAGCCTTTACTTAACTGGTTCCATTCTTCACCCCTCTGCTCTTCTTAATACCATCTTTCACGGTCTCCTCTATTGTTATTGTTGTATTGTTGTAATTATAATTGTGTCC